CCCCCAAGGTGACCCAAAGAGATGCCATCTGATGCAAAAGCCTCGGGCTGCCTCATTATAGGGATGGCCCTGGTCCTGCACTTTAGTTGATTTTATACATACTTATATATTTAAATTACAATATATATCTTGCAATGTTGTTATCCTGAAAGTTTGTATTGTATAACAAGAGCATGATGTAAACTGGATTGTTCCTTTATATCTGCTCATAGTCTACACCAGCATCAACCCAAACTACAGCTTTGATATAACAAGTAGTTTTGTATGCAGATTAATAGAAAATATGGGTATGAATCCCTTCCCATATGTTAAATATTCAAGAAATTCAATGGAAAAACAATTCAAACTTTGTACTTATAGTTTCCCTAGGTGAAATCTAACTACAACGGGGTTTGTACGGCATCAAGTTTTAATAGTTGTTAAGTAAAGCTGTAAGCATTTTAAATCAAACTGAAGGTGCATGTGACTATGTTACATTATGTGATATTCATTAAAACTGTAACACATTAGAAGTTTGATTTACAACTGTGAACCCTGTGCAGAAAGCTGTCTAGATTTTAGCAGCGACATGCTACATTGAGCAAATGCTAAAATAACAAGCTGCAGTCCAATGACCACTAGATGGCACTGAGATCTCCTTCCAGGCTGCCCTGTCTACCTGTAGCTTTGTCCACATAACACATGAACAATGAATGTCCATAATGTTCACAGACTGGCCACACGCGTTACAATCTGTACACTAATTCCTACAGGCATGTGCATAGGATGACATAAAATAATCCGCTCAGATCTAGAGAGCTCGGGCCGGCCGTTTTTTTACTACAGCCGGCCCGGAGGTGGTTAATACCATTTGTATATTTATATAGCACTGACAATTTGCGCAGTGCTTTACATAGTGCACATTCACATCAGTCCTCCCAAGACCTCCCAAGACCTCCTGCTTTCCAGCTCCTTTGTCAACTCCTCCCATGCTCGCCTCCAGGACTTCTCTAGAGTCTCTCCCGACCTCTGGAGCTTTTTACCCCAGCCTGTCTATCTATCTCCCACCCTGACTGCCTTTAGGCGATCCCTAAAGACTCATCTCTTCAGGGAAGCCTATCCCACCTCAACCTAACAAACTGAACCATCACGTTCTCAAACAATTCATCCCCACACAGCTACCTGCTCATGTATCACTGGCCCCTCCCTTTTAGATTGTAAGCCCTCAGGGGCAGGGCCCTCCTTACCATCTTGTCTTGAATTGTATTGTAATTGTAATGTCTTTCTTATATTGTAAAGCGCTGTGCAAACTGTTGGCACTACAATAAATATAATAATTGTAATAATACATACAGGGCCAATTTAGACCGGAGCCAATTAACCTACCAGCATGTCTTTGGAGTGTGGGAGGAAACCGGAGTACCTGGAGAAAACCCACACAAGCACAGGGAAAACTCAGGTATGTGTGGGTCTCAGGTGGGGTCTACAGGATCTCAGGTGGGTCCTGAGTCCAGTGAGTTACTAAGTCCTCAGCCCAATGCGTTACAATGTGCTCTATAGCTGACTGTATTAATCTTGCTTTGCTGTACAATGTATTGCTGGGATTTGTAGTCTTCTATAGGTGGTGGTATTCTGCATTGCTGTATAAGGTATTGCTGGGATTTGTGGCTCTCTATAGCTGGTGGTATTCTTTATTGCTGTATGATGTATTGCTGGGATTTGTAGTCCTCTATACAGTGGCAGAACTACCAGGGTCACATAGTAGCAGCTGCGATTGGGCCCCAGCATTCTGCCACTTGGGGGGCCCAGACAGGAGGAAGGGGGCCCTGGTAACCGCCGACATTGCAAGTTCCTGGGCCCCCCTTCCTTCAATATGGGGCCCTCCATCCTTCACACTGTGCCTGGATCATGTGTATCGCAAAGCTCTACAGCAGCAAAACATAGTAATGACAGACCCATTATAATGACAGTATTGTGCCAAATTTTGTTTGGCAAAGATTGCATTGCTGTACACAAAAATGTCAGGATGTGTAGAAAGAGAGAAAAAAAAGGCACATTTGCTGTTATACATAAACAACTGCAATGTAATGTATTATTACAATATTCTGTTCTGTAAACAACACCTTATTTTCTGGCAGTGCCCCTCCCGACACCAGACTCCGCCCCTGCCTGCTAAATTAGGCTGCAGCTCCGGATTCGCATCCTGTATACCGCAACCACCGGGCGCTGAGAGTTGATTTAATTGCGGATGGCATTGGCGGTTGCGGTATTCGGGATTGTGGGCGGCGTTGGACCACAACTGCTGAGCACCGATGCCATCCGCAATGAAAGTAACTCCCTCTTTGTCTCCTCCACAGCAGTGCTGAGCGCTGGGTGGAAGTGACATCACTCCCAGCACTCTATGGTAGATAGCCACACAGGAGGGAAAGAAACAGACATCCAACCACGCACTTCTGGCCCTGGGTCTAACCCATCTGTCCTCACACAGGTATATATATATTATATATATATAGGTTAGCACAATAAAAAGGTATCATTGCATACCGCATTACTCGTATTTTGTAATCTTATTTATATATACTTATATAGTTTTTTTCAGTGGTATGATTTACTGGTGAAAATTATCAGTGCCCCACCTCCCCCATTTTCGACTGTGGTATCTTATTGTTCCTAGATTACCCACTGATCCTGTCAATTTTTTTTCTTTAAACTGTCTGTGTCCCCTTAGATTTCCTTTCATGTTCTGCCCCACATACACCAAAGGAATTTAGAGGGAGTGTCTCAAAAGCAAGGGGAATCTCCTGTTAGAAAGTTGTCACTAGAACAGGAGTCCCGATTGGAAACATTCGCCTCCCCCACTGTTCCTGTGTGGTGGTGTGATGTTTTTCATCACTTTCTGTACTGTGGAGACAATTGTCAATGGTGGGGACAAGAAAATATTATAAACCTGACAGGGCTATTAACACTTCCCCATTCTACCTAGACAAACAAATGGCTTTACACTTTAGCTGTTAGGATGATTATACAAAGCAATGAACTTGATTTAAGTATCACTCGTGACAAAGAGCCAAGAGATTTGGCCAGCATGGGGAGTACCTGGCTGAGGATATCAAATGATCGTCTCAGCTGACCTGGCTTATTCCACATGGTTTTCCCTGTAGATTGCCTTGCTAAATACTGCAGTCAGGTTAAATTTCTAGCTCCTAAGATTCAAAAATTGTTCACATTAGAACAATGAAGACAATCGTTTTTAATGGGAAATAAATGGAGCTGCTAACAAGTCATATCTGTTCCAGTGTATACCGGAAATAATTTAAAATAATGTGTTGCATAATCTTAGGTCCTCTTTGAGTTCAACTAAAATTCTATCTTGTTTGCTCCCAAAAGTGATATCTGGTGTTCTGCATTTTTAGAATTGTTTCTGTTTTATATTGTGTTCCTGATAGCGAACTTGAAAAATATCAGGGTTATAAATAGATTTTAAAGGAGAATTATGGGGAGAGTGAAATCCTCTCAACCCCATAATTAGAGCAGACGTGTGACACTGAAGCTGTCACACGTCGGCTCTATAGATTGAGAACTGAGCAATCACATATCACTGATTGCTCAGTTCCTGCAAGCATTCCCCTCTCAGTTCATCCAGCGCTGACTGGAGGGATGCACAGGAGAGGGGGTGGGCACAGATGGCTCGGGCTCTAGAGAGGGAGAGCCAGCTGTTAATTAGGTGGCGCGGTGGATCCAGACAATATTGTTGGGATCTTTCCCAGCAATAGCCCGCTATATGCTGAGTTTTGGGTCACAGGAGGACATAGTAAATTTCCTCCTGTGACCCTAAAGAGAAATATGTCCAAAAAAGGTTGGGCCATAGCTCCCTTTTAAAGCCTGATATTCACTTTAAATGGGTTTGGTAAAAAAAATATGTTGGCTTTTTCTGCAATAACTCTGTTATTGTATGTATTTAAAGAGACAGGTTATGCTTATGTGGAACTAATCTCAAAAAGTGAAGATTAGCTATTTTATAGTAAACATCTATGGGTTTACTATCTATGGGTTTTCATTGTTTTTAAGCAGTATCATGGAAATTCTACCTTTTGCTTTGAATTCCTGCTGCACTTCCTGACATGCAATTGTTCTAGAACCTAGTAGGTTTATATTGGTATTATGCGATTATCTAAGATACTGCTGCCTCTGAGACTTAGGGGGTGATTTACTAACCTAAACACACACACACACACCAGGTGTGTGTGATTTTCACACAGCAAAACGTATTTATCAACCAAAAAGTCTCTAAAAGCATATTTCCACTAATGCCATATATGGAAAAATCATGCACATGATGCATATATAATGCTGCTTCACAGTTTAGACAAAAATGGTTAGCTCATGCATTTACATTCCTGCATTCATCAACGCAAGCAACATAACATAGAGCTAATTTACACCACATTACCTTGCAATTCATTGCAGGGCTTTGCACAACACACCTGCTGGGTGTGTACACACTACAAAGGTGTTTCGATTCCTCCCATAGATCATGCTGGGAGGGAACACACTACAGAGGTGTATACACGTTCGTGGTGTGTTTAAAAGGTTAGTAAATCAACCCCTTAGAGTGAGATTTGGTAAAGTCACTATGGTGCTATTCACTGTTCTCCTTGCTGGATAGAAAGCTGGACCAGAAGACATCCCTGCTTCTGCTTTATTCATTCTATGGATTCTATGGATCTGTGCTGCTTTCTGGTCATTCTTCCACCAGTCATTTGGGATAGAGGGGTGGCAGTTCTGAGCTGAGGAAGCAAAGCCTTGCTCCTTTACCAACATGGCCAGTTTCATACAACAAAGCATTGCATGGAACAAGGCATCAGCAATGATAAAAGGATCAGCTGCAGGGCTCTACAGGCAATACTGGTGACTAGTATTTTGCCCTTTGCTTGCCTTTTTTGAGCAGATCTTCTGTGTTACAGGTCCTCTTTAACATTTAATTCAGTTCACACCCATGATTGCAAAGGTTTGGCTGTCAATCTGAATAGTATACCACAAAAGACATGTTTGCTTCACCATATTTAAAGCATAGACTATTGGCTGGAATGGATGTTTATATAATTGACCTCTGTACTGTGTCCATAAAGATATAAATATTGGTGTCAAAGGTCAGAATAAACGCACATACATGTATGCATTCATGTATGGGTCAGGAGAAGGAAATTAGATTTAGTTGTAATCTCCAAAAATACAGTAGGCATCTTTTCTATTGTTTTTCATGATGAGAGGCTGAAGTGAGACTTAAAAGGAGAACTATGAGGTGAGTGCTTTTCACTCACCTCATAGTTCTAGCCGACCTGTGACAATGAGACTGTCACAGGTCGGCTCAGTAGAACGGTTAAAAACCAAAACAAAAGTTATTAAGGGCCCTGTTTAATATCATAAAAAAATATATTCCACTCTGGTGAAATATACCTATTGGCATCTGCATTGTAAGTAATAGCTCTGTCCAAATGTGGTAAACACATAAGCCCAGTCCTCCAATACATACATAGACCCATTTCCCTGTTTACAGGACTATACACCAGTACCATGTGCACTGGTCTGTAGCTGTGGATATGAATATTTTCTTTTTAGCTTTGCGCTATTTTCCAACATCCATGTTCTGTGGCACTGCTGCACAATCCCCAAACATACCAGCTTGCAGGTCTTTCTACAGTAAGATGTATTCTCCACAGCAGTAGACACAGTTAAAAGGTTGCTGCATCATCCTAGGCAGGTTGTAGCCATTCAATGATGCACATCATATCAGCATCCTTATCCTAAAAAGTGCTTGCAAATTGCAGGTGAGTGAACCTGTACTCTATTTTACTGTTATCAGCTGGAAACCCCCACCCCCAGATTTAGCTGCACTGTCAAATAAGTCTCAGTTGCTACTATAGTACTCTCATTGTACAGGTATTTTAGTGAAGTCCCAATATCCAAGTGACAATAAATCAGAGACCTTACTGGCAGATAAAGGTAGTAGCTGATGTTGTGTAGTATCTGCTGTAAGAAAGGACTTACACAACCCAAATATATTCCACAATAAACTAGCCAGCTCTTACCTGATCTTCCTGTGAATGACCCCCTCGAGGTGACACACCATCCTGTTCTTCATCCGAAGATTCGTACTCATCAGATTCTTGATTTTCAGGGATTTTAGGGATATTGTGATGTGACCTTGGAGTGTCAGTTTGGATTGGGATTGACCTGGTAGTTTCTGGGTGGGATATGCTGGACTTAGTGCTAGGTACTCTAGGTGTAACATTTTGATGAATGCTTTTCTGGAATTGGTCAGTTCTAGGGGTTCCAGGATCAGAGTTTGCAGTTCTTTTGACAGATGGTATAGGAGAGGCTGATTCAGGAATTTCCTCAATTTTTGGAGGTTGGTATTCCCTAAAGCAAACCTTATATGCTAGGCGCCCACAGTGCATTGCCATTTGGTCACCTCCAACTCTTAGAAGTGCCAGCACTCCCTGATAGTTATAGAGTGCCTCAAAGGGTGCTGCACGTAGATTAATACGAGGCTGGTTCGTTCTGGGGTAGATGGCAAATAATGCTTGGCCAACAATTTTGCTTGACTTAAGAAGACCTGCTCCAAACTTTAGGACATCAATAGACAGTCTGACATCATGTTGTTTATCATTTTTACACAGTCCTATGTAAAAACCAGAAAAAAGAAGATCAGAAGTTAAATAAATGGGCACAGAATGACATCTGATGGGTGTTTATGCTTCTACCTAAGATTTTACATTAATAAAGACATATGAGATATCAGAAGACAAATGTCTTGAAATTTGCCAGATAACGATACCCCCAGGTCTCCTAGATGTATACCCCAACAGTAATCACAGGTTTCCCTTTTTCCCTCTCAGCTGTCCCTCTTTATCATCTGATGTACAGATATCAATGAAAAAGTACAATTTAACTATCAAAATTATTATACTGCACTAAAACCTTAATCCTATATCTTACAGCATATCTAAACCCCGATCACAAAAAATGAACATATTGCAGCTTATCATTTCTTAAATTTGGTGGCTGCACTTGTTTTCTGTTTAGTTTTTTCCCTTTATTTTTACCTGGAGATCCGGCCAATAGGTCTGTTATTTTCAACTTCCTTTAACAGGCCAAGCTGTCCAGCAAAACTGGCAAATAGAGGGTTGAGACAAACCATTTAACACTGACAGGGGTGCTTCCAACAATCAGCTGTTATTTATTTATGTAAAACCTTTATTCCAAAATGGAAAAAAGTGCTACTGTAACTACTTAAAAGTGTTAGCTGGAGTTTCAATTTAATTTGTTAGTCAAGTCCTTCTAAGAGAACAGGGAAACCTAAGGCAAATAGAACTCGTGTAATTTGAGCACTAACCTTACACTTACTGGCGGTCAGAACTACCAGGGACGTATGTGC